CTTTTGGTCATCACTGACGCACCGGGTTGCAAAACTTGGGCCGTCACAATCTATGAATTGAACGAACTGCTTTTAGTTGTGATATAGATATATACATCTACAAACAAACAAACAAACAAACAAAAAAAATGGTGTTAAGGCCTACCTTTATACATATTTTAAAAAAAAATTTATATCCATACTTTTGTTTAAACTTTTGCAAAAAAATAAAAATAAAAAATAAAATAATAATAATAATAATAATAATGAGCATCAAAAAGAAATATAGTATCAAAAAATTACATACAGGGAGGCACAAAGTTAAAAAAATTTCAATGTTCACAATTAAATAAATTTTTATTATGAGCTTTTTAATAAAAGGAAACCTAACTAGAGAAGGAAATATATATAGAAAATAAATAATTTTGTTTCTCTAATTAGACAAGGAAATATATAAAAAGTTTAATAATGAAGTCCTATTAAAAAATTTAATTAATAATTAATGTTTTTATCTCTTTAAAATTCTAACACAAATTACCTATTTATTATGAGTTTTTATTTTTTAATTAATATAAGGTGTTTATAAGACTTTTTATAAAACTCAAATCACCTCTTTATTATGATTTTTTTAATAAAAGGAAACCGAATTAGGCAAGAAAATATATAAAGAAAATAAATAATTTAGTTTATCTAATTAGACAAGGAAATATATAAAAAGTTTAATAATGAATTCCTATTTAAAAGTTTAATACTTTAAATCCTATTAAAGTTTAATAGAATTCCTTATAAATTATTCCCATAATTTAATACATAATCATTTTATATATTTTACATAAAAATAAAAAAAGTAAATAATATTAAGTATCTCTCAAATTTTCTTTTCTCATTGATTTTTCCATTCACCAAGAAATTACTATAAACTTAATTTACTAAAAAAAGAAATATAGATTTTTATACTATAACACAAGTTTATATTTATTTCTATATGATTTTACTTAATTTAATCCAAAAAGTAATGTTATTTTCTAGTGTTACAAGTTTAATCTCTCACTAAATAAAATATAGTTCATTAAATCAATATATTTCTTTTCAATATTCTTCAAAAAAATTTGTGTTGGAACTTTTATTTTTTTAATTTGATGTTTTATAGTTTATATGAAAATTTTAATCAATAATTATTTTTGAAATCGAATTCTCTCCTAACTAACTAAATGAACCATATTGTCCTAATTATATTTTATATGTAGGAATGAAAGTACACAAAGTAACAAATTCAATTATATTTTCACAATATTTATCTCATACTTCATTTTTTCAGCTATTCACGATTCAACATTCACAAATAGTGGGTTTAAATTATCACTACCAATATTACCATCCATTTTTAAAATTATATTGTGAAAAAAAGTCCGTTAGAGCTACCTTGTCCAAACAAAAAAATAAAAAATCTATTAAAGCTTCACACCCAAAGTAAAAAAAGTAGTTAGAATTATTTTATACACTTATGACTCACAATTATGACTAATGGTTTAAAACTATGAATTTTAATATTTATCTAAAATTAGTATTTATATCATAGTTAATAATTATTTAAGTAAAAATTTGTAGCTCCTTCAATTTTAATCTTTACTTTTAGAATACTATTTGTTGCTCATGATTCATGAACATGCAAAATAATAGTAATACATTTGATTTCATTAATATTTAAAATTATAATTACCCAAACAAGTTGCTAATTCGTATATGTGGCAAGCTACGATGTTGGCAGCCTACCTTTCGGCACATAGGCGATTCATATGGAGCAGCTAGTGTGGTTATCCTATTCGAGGATTGACTCTTAATCCTATTCTCTGACTGACATGTCGTTTGTGATTCCACCTTGTAGAAGTAAATTCCTACACAAAGTAGCCCCGCTGGGAGCTAATTGTCCCTCGCGAAATAAATCTCTATTAGAACTCTACCATAAATCTCTTCTTTATCTTTTATGTTCTTCTTCTATAAATCAAGATGGTTTGAGTAGAATTTATTCAAATTATTTCCATTTTTCAGAAAGCCAAGTAGTACCAGTCGTAGTGAAGTGGTAAGTTCCATGCCCTTGTTTTCTTCCTTCTTTTATTTAACTCGTTGTTGCTTCTTCCTCCGACTCAGTAATCCAAGCCTTCTCTGTCATTCAACTAGATGAAGCGAGTGACTCCGAGTAGGATAAATGTGTAGTTATTCATTTATTTGCTCCCACTTTTCTCTTTGTGGCTGAGACTTCTCTTTATTTGCAATTAGTTTCCATTTATATGTGTAGGGTTGATGAGTAGGATGGACAGTTATGTTTTGCCATTGCGATTGTCGCATTATGTTATTTTATAATTGAGTTTATTGACATCTTTAGTCGGCTCGTCCCTTTAATAAGGGAAGTAGATTAATACGAGCTTCACCCAGCTCACCCTTTAACGAGGGAAGTAGATTACTATGAGCTTCACCCAGCTCATCCTTTAACAAGGGAAGTAGTATGAACTTCACTCAGCTTATCCATTTAACATGAGTATTGATAATATTTCTTCAGATGCTCAACATTCCATGGGTGAGGCAGTGACTTTCCCTTTAAGTCCTCCAACCAGTATGTCCCTGGTCTCTGAAGGATTGTTCTGTTAGTGACTTTGACTTGTCCATTCGCCTAGGGTGTAGTTATTATGCCTACCTGGGCTCACCGGATGGCGAGACGATCTGTTAGCCTGGCTGCCTGAGAATTCCTTGTACTTCGATTCATTTTCCTCCCTAGTGCTAGGTGCTGGCCTCTTTTTTTCGAACTTCTTATCTTCCCCATCTTTGTTTTTTCGTGCATTCATAGCATCCTCAGCGTTCATATGTTTCCGCCCTCGAACCATCAACTTTGCTATGCTCATAGGGGCTTCCTTTGACAAAGAGAATAGGAACTTAGAGGTCTGTAGTCCTCCCATAAAGGCTATGAGGGCAACATTGTTGTCCAACTCTTTTACTTGCAGTATTACAGTGTTAAAACGACTTATGTAATCATGAAGAGGCTTTCCCTTCTACTGCTTCACATTCAATAAGTGTGTTGCTGGTCTCCTATGCCTCTGCCCAACAATGAAGTGTCCTATGAATTGTTTGCTCAACTCATCAAAGTTTTCAATGGAGCCTGGTTTTAATTTATTGAACCAAATACGAGCCCAATCCTTTAGTGTGGTAGTGAAAGCCCTGCACATAATCTCGTTCGGTACGGCTTGCAAATACATAAGAGCTTTGTAGGTCTCCAAATGATCGACAGGGTCCCGCGTCCCATCGAAGCTCTCCAGAGTTAGCATATTGAATTTACTAGGTAGAGGACAACTCATAACAACTGGGCTAAATTAATGCTAGGTTGGTCTTCTGTACCAGATCGTTCACTGCGGCCTGGCCCTTCCCTTTCATTGCTTGTATGACGTCTTCAACCCTAGCTCTCAAATCTTGCATCTGTACATCGAAATGAGTGACATCCTCAGTTTTGTCACCAACACAACCAGAGGTATCTTCACGGAGCGGGGTGGTATTCTATTCAGGAGACCGATGGTGATGGCTCCTCTGTTAACCCCCTATTTGACTAAGCTCAGCGTCATTGTTAACCCTACAGGAGTCATTGTTGGGTACTTTAATGTTCCCCACCTCGTTGGGGGCGTCTAAGCATTGCAGAATTATCGCATTTTGCTGGACTAACTGGTTCATTCCCTCATTTAAGGTTTGACCCTATTGTTCCAATGCTGCAACACATTCCTGATTGTTGGGACAACAGGGGGTTGCCTTGTCGAGTCCCCTTGGTCAGAAGCCTATAACGCTTCGTCCTCGCCAGCAGCTAGACCAGATTGCAATCGAACCATGCTTTTTTAAGAGAACTAAAATCATTCCCACAGACGACGCCAACTGTTGATGATGGATTTTGCGCAACCCAGATCTGATCTAACTTCCTGAACAAAGAGAAAAAAGGTGATCTTACAGGCACCGGTGTGTTACCGGAGGAGTAGGCTCCGACAAACAAGTCAGTGTATAAAGTAATCTCTTTGGAGAAATCAAGAAATTGAGTTAGGATCTATTGCATACCTTAAAACGTCGATTAACCCCTTTCTTTATAGGGCTTAGGTCAGGATGTAACGTGTCGTAACCTATGAGAGAAGTTAGTCTTATCCTTATCGTAATCTGTAGAGTCTATCTCAATTTTATGAGATAATGCATTAATTTAACAACCTTCCCCTATCCTCAGGTATTTAAAATATTCATTCATCACAAATAAAGAAGTGTTAGAAGTTTGACTAGTAGATGCAGAGAATCGAAGTTTGGAACACCAAACTCCACCGAAGGCACTAACCCACTGGACTATTGAGGCATCTATAATTCAAATAGTTGATAAGTGCTTTAAGCAAATAATAATAAGAGTAAATTGCAAAAAATCCTTTTTACTTTTAATTTTTGACAAGAAATCGGCATGAAAAAAAAACTTAACAAAAAATCTCCCTAAATAACTAATTTATTGCAAAATGATGTTATAATGATGCAAATCTCCTTTAAAATAAATTTAAGAAATATTTTTTATTTTATTTTTATTTTTTCCTTTATAACTTTTTAAAAAATAAAACTTTAAGAAAATTGTTAAAGATGCACACCATTAAAGTGAAGTTATAAAATGAAAATGCCCCTTTAATGTAAATTTAAGAAAATTTAGTTGGATTTAAAATGATTTTTACATTTTATTATTATTTAAAAAAAATTATTTCAAGGTATTTTTTATTTCCTTATAAATGCATGGTAATTTTTTTTTTTAATTATTTGTATTAATTTTAATTTTATATTAAGAAAAACCATTTTTTGAATTTATACTAAGGGACATTTTCATAATAATAACATCATTTTTGCAACAACTTAAATAATTTAGGGTTAATTGTCAAATTTTTTTTGGAGGAGTTTCTTGCCATAAATTGAAAGTAGAATTCGCTTTTCTACAATTTAGCCTAATAATAATGATTTGTTTATATTTATTTCGGAGAAATGGAAGAAACTTCAACTCCCCCAAAAAAAAAAAACTAAACCAAGTAGGAAAGCCTCCCAGGAGAAGCTGGTGAAGATTGAAGAAGGGGGAGTGAGTGACTGACTGGCTGCGTATGAATTTACAATGAGCCGTACGTGGATTCGGCAACGTCATGCCGGATTCCCTGCCATGTCCCTCTCCTATTGGCGTTATATTTTGTTTTCCTCTCATTCATCTACTGCTGCTGCTGCTTCCTCCTCCTCCAACAACAGTAAAGTACCTGTTGTTTGGGATTATTTTAACAAACCCACCACCACCACCACCACCACCAATCTTGGCGGTGGAGGTGGCGGTGACGCAATCACGGTTCAACTCTTTTCGTGGGGGCATGGCGCCTCTGGCCAACTGGGCGGAGGTATCGAAGAGATCCGACTATACCCGGCTCCTGTTGCCTCCCTCGTCCTCCCTCCCTCTTTCCGCATTTCCCACCCAATTCCTGGCTGTCTCACCACCACTTTACCGCCATCCCCACTTAACAACAACAACAATAACAATGTGGCTATGGATGTGGGTATCTTTTGCGGCCTTTTTCATTCGGCACTGCTGGTGGATGGCAATTTCTGGATCTGGGGCAAAGGTGATGGTGGTCGACTCGGCTTTGGCCATGAGAACTCTCTATTCTTCCCCACCTTAAACCCTAATTTAGATTGCATTCGAAGGGTTGCTCTTGGTGGGCTTCATTCCGTTGCTCTTAACTCTCTTGGACAAGTCTTCACATGGTCAGTAATACTGCAATCAAATCATTTATATATTAATTTATTTTTAACACAGTATTCTAAAATTTTAATCCTATAGTTGCTTTAAAATCATTCAGACATTGATTTCTAGCCTACTTCCAGATGGGCAGAACTCCCGTGATTGATTGTAAATATTGTCATGATTGTTTCAATTTACAAGCTTTCCCAAGGAGCACTTGGTCTTCAACACTCTCAAAGGATAGGAATTAAGTTCCCAGAGTTACAATGACATCTGTGAAAGATAGATGTGCATATTTAAGCTTACACACCTAGACTTACTAATACATTAAGTATTCCATAGAAAGCTCTTCTCTAGTATTTTAAACACTATGAATGATAATGCAAGGTTTATGTTCAATAGTGGTGTTACCAATTCAAGGTCTAAAGCTCAAAAGTAGCTTCTACCAACAAATGATAATGAAAATGTACGAACAGTGGTAGAAATCTCTTTCTCTCTCTCACTTGTAAATGACCATTACAAGGATAATTTATAATCCCATTTTTGAAATATAGCCGTTAGACACATTTGGCACTCATTGGGATTGCTGTGCTAGCCGTTTGTAACATTTTACTCTACCACATGGTATGATATTGTCTACTTCGGGCTTAAACCTGTTCGGTTTTGTTCTGGGTTTTATCCCAAAAGGCCTCGTACTATTTGGAGGTAGTACTAGCACATATAAGTATTTCACCTTTACGTTACCCAAGCAATGTGGGATTGTGCAATCTATAACTCGCCCAGTGTCTCACTACACCTGCTAACATAGGTCGCCACAATCACCCCTCCAAGTGGCCTAACATCCTCATTGACCACACTTCCGGCTGGGCTCCAGCTCTGATACTATTTTTAATAGCTCACTCCACCACATGGTATGATATTGTTCGCTTTGGACCTGAGCCATCATGGTTTTATTTTTGGGTTTTACCCTAAAAGACCTCATACCATTTAGAGATAATACTAACACATATAAGTACTTCCTCTTTTCCACACCTAGGTGATGTGGGATCGTGCACCCGTAGCTTACTAGCAATGGTAGCCTGCCAGTGCCTCGCATCCACCTGCGCACACCGCCCACAAAGTTGCCACAATCCACCCCCTAAGAGGCCCGGCGTCCTCATTGGCACACTTCTGGCCGGGTGAGTCTCTGATACCATTTATAACAACCCACTCCACTACATGGTATGATATTATTTGCTTTAAGCTTAAGCTCGCACGGTTTTGTTATTGAGTTTTATCCCAAAAGGCCTTGTACCATTAAGAGATAACACTAGCACATATAAGCACTTCACCTTTGCCTTACCCAGGCAATGTGGGGTTGTGTAATCTGTAGCTCACCCAATGTCTCACAACACCCACCCACATAGGTCGCCACACCGTTACATTTGAAATGTCAGAAACAATCTACTGTCATGAAGAGCAGTCGACTAGTTTGGCTAGACAAGTAGACTGATCAACTTCGTCAAGTGTTCTACTGTTAGGTTATAATCAGCCGGGTCCTTTTGGGATCAGTTGCGAAGCCAATAATGGCTACTTTCTGCTATGTATGAGTTGATGGAACCAGTTTAAGCTTTTGCTAGAGATGCCACTCGGATAAATGAGTTGACCAGTGCTTAAAGAGCAATCCAAGTTGGCTTGTTATGAAGATTTCATCCTCCTTTTGAGTTTAACATAGGGTCAATTTCATTCCATCCTTATTTAGGACTTCAAGAAAATATTCATTTAGTTCAAGTCCTAATACTTTGAAGCTCATTCCACATCTCACACAATGAAAGACAAACTATTGAGGTATTTGTTTACAGCCACCTTATGGTGCATTTGGAATGAAAGAAATAATAAGGTTCATGGTGGACACTCTCTCAACCCTCATCAGCTGGCAGTGAAAGCTTGCTTTGAAGCCCTTGATGCAGTTGACCTTTCTTTAACTGATCTAGCATTCTTATTTGATGTTGCTGGAAGTTGAAATTGCTGCAGTTCCTTTGTGTCTTTCACATTTCTGTTTGTTTTTCTTTGGCATAGATCAAAAGCTTTTCCTACTTCTTCTCATGGATGTAATCTTAGTTGTTTATTGTGGTCAGTTTTGATCACTTTTCCCATGTACTTATTTATTCTTGTATCAATAAAATTTGTCCCATTCAGGAAAAAAAACAAAATTAGCTGAGACTGCACTAGGTAATGACCCTTTCTGAGACCTCCCCCTTGCATATGATGTCTCTCTCCCTAGTTCGTTCATCTCTCTTCTCTAATCTCCCATTCCCTCCCCCCGCCCCCACAAAGAATGCCCGACTTGGTTTGTATGAGCTCATGAAAACAATACACTCAATTAGCTGAGACTGCACCAGGTATATGACCCTTTCCTCTCCTGCTCTCTCGCATATGATGTCTCTCTCCCTAGTTTGTTCATCTCTCTTCTCTAATCTCTCATTCCCTCCCCCCGCCCCCCTTCTGTTTCATCTCCTTGTTTTAAGTCCCCACCCCCTCTTTGTTCAGAAATCTCTCGCAGCTGAATCAACCACTATCACTGTCATTTGTTGGAGAAGATTCTAGATTGGACTGGACATGGGAGGTGAATATCGAATGTGTTCTTTCGAAGTCTAAAGACAACCACAAAGGCTAAGAAGAATGGACAAATCTATGAAGTAGCATTATCAGAGTCAAAAAAGTGTTGGGCACTCCTGAACATGTCTCCGACACATCTTTAGCTTATTAATAATTGAATTAAAAAGAGATTCTTAGTCAGATACATAGCTAACACTTCTTGAGCATGTCCTAACATGTGATCAATGAACCTGATCAAATTGTAAGACACCTTTTTGATCTGGAAAAAAGCATGATAGTAAGATAAATCATAGGGAAAGTTTATATAAAATATCATGTATAGCTTAACTACATGTAAAAATACAAAGGAATGACTCGCTGAATGAGTGAGCATGAAAGTAGGAGAGGAGCCATCAATTTATATTTAAGGGGTTGACACAAGCGGGTAAGTCACCTGGCCTGGTGCCTCAGGAAGCATCAGGTCTAAGGTTTGACTCTTATGTGTATACATATGTATATACATACACAAACAAGCACGTGCTTAAAAATGCTGTATCTTGTTGTGTCTTTCTCTGCAAGACATGGTTAATTAAAAATTAAAAATTATCTGATTAACAAATTACAACTGTCATGTTACAGTTATAGAACATTATTTGACTTATAATATATTTCTTTGCTTCAAAAATATTTGATTGCCATGCCCATGCTGCGTTCGTCTCCAAATTTTTAAAGATTTATCTTGTCTTGTTGTAATTGTGTCCTGCGTTCATATTAATGCCTCTTAGTATGAAGGAGACTCAAAATCTAATATCGGAAGGCGGAGTAAGAGGCGATAGACATGTAGTTCTTCATCTATATGTCTCTCTTTGTATATATGGGTGCCTATGTTCTCTACATTATATATTTATATACAAACAAACTGATGTATGCATATATATATAACCTACATTCGAAAAACCAAAAAGAAGCAAATGAACTCAAGCTCACCCAGGGTCAAGCTCAAGCTTGGCTTAACAATGTCGAACCAAGTTCAAATGAGCTCAAGCTGAGCCAAGGTCAAGCTCGAGCCTGGCTGAACAATGTTGAACCAAGCTCGAACTTGGCTAGGGGAAGCTCACTTTTCATGGTTACCCGAATATGAGCTAAGCCTGAGCATTTGTCCAACCTTGGCGAGCTGAGCCAAAAAAGCTAGAGCCCTGCCTGTCTCTGCTTGGCTCGGTTCATAATTCAGCCGTTGTCATTATTCAGATATTTTTAGTCATTTTGCACATTTTGTTTCACAATCAGAATTGCATTACAACCAAATACGTAGAGTCCTGTTGCCTCATGAAGCATCAGGTCTCACTATCAATTCCTGCTAGGTGCAAACAATTCTTTGGGGTGGGGGGAGGGGGGAAGTGAGTACCAACTATGAATATATATATATATATATATATAGATAAAGTCCTGTTGAGTAGTATTTTTATTTATTTTTTGTTATATTGGATGATTATTAGCTATTTGAGGGTCAACTATAGTTCATCTTGAATTCCTATGTAAAAGAAATGGAATGCTTTTTGATCATTCTGAGTTAAAAAAAACCTATCATAATTAAATAATCAAATAAATGATTTTATGATTCAGATTACTCAACCTAGTTGGCATCATAACTTGATGTTTTTATCATTAATAATGAAGTTTCCAGGGGTTATGGTGGTTTTGGCGCTCTTGGGCATTCAGTTTATCATAGAGAATTGCTCCCTAGATTGGTGGAAGGTTCTTGGGAGGGAGAAATATGTCACATCGCAACTAGTGGGACTCATACTGCTGCTATCACCAAATCAGGTCTGACACTGTTTATTGTTTGGTTTGATAATTTACTGAAAGATTTCTATCTTCGCATTGCTAACTCGTAAAAGTTTACTTTGAGATCAGTGTTTTCTGTTTTTATTTTTCCGACTCTGGATTGATACATTTGGGTTAGGTTAGAGTGTGTGTGTGTGTGTATATATATATATCAGAGCTTCCAATAATTTCTTTTTGTGGGTGTAAAAATTGACGGGGAACTCAGATGACTTCACAGGTTGGCTGTTACAATTGAGTTGCATATTTTATTCTCAGTTTGTCACTCAACAGTATGCTCAGAAAGCAAATTCAATATATATATTCAAAATCTGTCAACGATTATGTCCATGACAAAAATGAGTGGAGCCTTCCATGTGAAATTTCTAATCATTACTGGCTTTATCCCTGTAAATTTCGATGTTGCCATGCCCTTTTATGCCTCTAATGCATGGAAACTGCTGGTGTTCAATTAATTAAATTAAATTCAATTATAGAAAAATCTTAAGATTTTTATGATTAATGTTACTAATGTGATTGAAGTTTTAAGCTTACTTTGCTTCAACTTGACAAATCTTCTTGTTAATTGCTCATCAGTTTTCTATTGAAACAACTAGCCAGCTGAATGGCTGCTCTTCCCTTTATTACAATTCGGCCAATTTCTGAGCTTTCAAATGTGATTTTCTTTTTCATTGTGTTGATGATAACAAGAGGGTGAAATTCCTTGATTTAATCCTCCTCCTTATCGTAGTTTCTACCAACTAAATCTCTTTATCTTTCAATGTTCTTACATAACAAGAGCCTAATCTGAAATTCCTATCATAGATTTAAATTCTTTATCTGTGCTTGTCCAGAACGACGGGGGAATTCTTGTGCACTTTGTACTGCATCTGGGCACCACCTGACCCTTTTTTGAATCATGTAGAAGCTGATGCAACATATCAATTAAAGAGAACATCCTGGCATCTACTCAAATATTCTCAGCATATATGTTTACAAGGGTCTGACAATCAATTTATATGTAATGAATGTTGAAAGTAAAGGAAACGAGATTCTATGATTTCCTTTCCTCTACTTCCTATTATTCAAACGCACTAGGACGCCACACTTAACATGTTCTGTATATTCTAAGGATTCATGGTCATAGGTCTTTGACAGAGTCTTACGCTGGTTGTCAAGTAATGCAATGCTCTTCTTTTTTCTCTGCTTGGGAGTTGGGATAGGCTGTGTAATATGCGAAGTTCTGTTACTAATATGTAAAGCCCCAGTGAGGAAAAATTAATGCCCTTACATAAGCAGATGTACGCGATAAAATCAAGATGTTTAGAATTGATACAAGGAATTGGATGATCAAACATAAAATTAAAAACTGTCTGGTTGCAGTTGCACCTATTCTTTTGGTCTAGATTCAATTAATTTGAATCAACCTGATCCACGTCTCAACAGATTGTAGGCGTGCTTATAGTTTAGGTATCAAGCTATGGTCTAAATCAGAGCTGTGCTAGACTAAAATTGTATAATTGGCTACTTTTAGTTATTGCAAAATTTTTGAACAGAACATTGGACTTGGCATATGAAGAAAAAAAAGGGTAAAGTAATCCCTTATTTCATTCATTCTGGAAACCGTAGGGTACAAAGAATTTATAGGAGAAAAATACAACCAACCTATAATTAAATCTCCTTAATTCTAGCAGCTAATTACAGGAAAGAAGATCAAATCTAATAACTAACAGATTTGAAAATAAAAAAATCAAGTAACCAAATCTCCTACTTTCTATATTCACAAATTCAACTTAACTAAAATAAAAATATCTTCCCTAGAAAATAGGGATCTAAATCCGGAATTCAACACTCCCCCTCAAGCTGGTGAATAGATGTCAATCATTCCTAGCTTGGTGATTAAAGCATCAAAATTAGTTCTTGGAAGTGCTTTAGTAAGGATGTCTGCAATTTGATTGTATGTAGGAGTGTACACCATCTTGATTATTCTTTCCTTGATCTTCTCTTTGATGAAGTGGCGATCAATCTCCACGTGCTTGCTTCTGTCGTGGTGAACCGGGTTCTTAGCAATACTTATTGCTGCCTGACTGTCACAGAACATCTTCATTGTCTTCTCAGTTGGAACTTTTAATTCTTCAAGTAACAGGACAAATATCATTAACTGTATTACCTGGAAGTGACTCAGGATTGTTTGAACTCGGGTTGGAATCCTGGTTCTGCTCGGGAAGTGTATGATGCTCTATCTCCTTTTGAATTTTCTGTCTCCTTGAATAAACATGTAACTCTTTATTATTTGCACACTGTGTGTTGGTTTGAGAGTTAGTGTTTTGTGTGGGTTCAGATTGGGTATTCTGGGAATCTGTGATTTGAGTGGACTCTGGCTGGGTATTGTGTGAAGGAGGAATCGGTGAAATGGGCAATGTAACTGGTGAATTAGGTCTGACAATATCCTCATGAAACCAAAATTAATATTCTTGTGTGTTTGAGTTCTTCCCCTGAATATGAGTTTTGGGGTAGAAAGGTTCATTTTCAAAAAAGGTTACATCCATAGAATGATAAAATTTCCTAGTGGCAGGAGAATAGCATTTATAACCTTTCTGATCGGGAGAATAACCTAGAAATACACACTTTATGGCCCTAGGATCAAGCTTGCTTCTGTGATGTTGGTGAACATGAACAGATGTTGAACAACCAAACACTTTTAATGGTAAGGAAGAAATGATTCTAGTTTGAGAATAGATTCAGGTGAGGGTTTGGCAAGGGGTTTGGAATTTTAGAACTCTAGATGGCATCCTATTGATGAGATAGGCAGCTGTAAGAACTGCTTCTCCCCAGAGATGTTGGAATACGAGTTGTGAACATGAGAGACCTTGCAACTTCTAGAAGGTGTCTATTTTTTCTTTCGGCGACTCCATTTTGTTGTGGGGTGTCCACACAAGAACTTTGGTGAATAATGCCATTACTTATTAGGTAATCCCCGAGAATAGAATGAAAATATTCTCTACCATTGTCTGTTCGAAAGACTTGGATTTTGGCTTGAAATTGTGTTTGGATCATGGTGTTGAAGTGTTTGAAGATTAGACCAAACTTCTGATTTTTCTTTCATAAGAAATATCCAAGTAGTTCGAGTGTGGTCATCAACAAAGGATACAAACCATCTAGCCCCTGAAACATGAAGAAAAAAAAGGGTAAAATAATCCCTTATTTCATTCATTCTGGAAACCGTAGGGTACAAAGAATTTATTGGAGAAAAATACAACTAACCTATACTTAAATCTCCTTAATTCTAGTAGCTAATTCCAGGAAAGAAGATCAAATCTAATAACTAACAGATTTGAAAATAAAAAAATCAAGTAACCAAATCTCCTACTTTCTATTTTCACAAATTCAACTTAACTAAAATAAAAATCTCTTCCCTAGAAAATAGGGATCTAAATCCGGAATTCAACAGCATATAATTGGATGGTGACAAAACATTGATACGGATTTATAACTTCAGACCTTATTAAATTAATCAACTAGTTTCAGATACTGGTAAAAGAAAAACTGTTTTCAGGTTCTCTTTTCCCAAAACACATCATTGTACTTTGAAAGTTAGGTAATTTTAGGTTAGATTTAGTCCTCAATTTCCATTTCCCATGTTAGTTGGCAAAATTAGTAAGCTCATGCAGTCAGTACTAGAGGTGCTGTTTCTCCCTAGTAATTGTCTCTTCTAGTTGATTATATTTCTACCTCCAAATTACAAATACACTAAGGCATATAGATATATGTTTGTTTGTAGAAAATGCTCTGATTTGTAACCAAGTATATTGGATTACCTTGTAACTGAGAGAAGCCAGACCTTCCAAAGAAGGGGGAAAAATTAGGATAAATATAATTTAGGAGTATGTATTCAACCAGATTGCAGACTGGGAGACTGGAAATTATCTTGCTAATGACATGGTATAGCTTATTTGCTTAAAATTATCCTTTTATGCTGCATACCTTTTCTAGATTTTTTTTTTATATATTGGAAAGGATATAGAAATTAATGTCTTTATTTGTTTTAATTGTTCTTTTATAAGGTTATTTGGTCATTTGATGCAGGTGAACTTTATACTTGGGGTCGAGATGAAGGAGAAGGTAGACTGGGCCTTGGTCCTGGTCGTGGCCCAAGTGAGGCAGGTGGATTTAGCATTCCTTCCAAAGTAAAAGCATTACCTGTGCCTGTGGCTGCTGTTTCCTGTGGTGGTTTTTTTACTATGGCAGTGACCGATGAGGGGCAACTTTGGAATTGGGGAGGTAAGGCTATGATGTCCTTTGTTAGCAATTCCAAATCCTCCACTTCTTTTTGACATTCACATTTCAATTAAATTGGTGTACTTTTATTCTAAAAATGTGAAGTTGTAGAGGAGTGTTAAAAGGAGTAATTCCATGCCTTAACCTGGAATTTTGGAACTTCATGTTGCCTGCACCAGATAGGTGCAATACGATGTTGTAAGTGATGATGCTAATTTTATTAAGGGGAACCCGAAAATATTGAATTACTTGTCAGCATTAATTTTTCATTAATGAGTGCTCAAAGGGGGAGTACATCCCAATTACATTGCACTAAAATAACTATATCTATACTTTCAAAGTATCCACAAAGTCCATAAATTCCTTGACAGATTTACAATTCCACCCATGGACCCAAAAGAATTGAGAACTTGAGAACCCAAATGGGGATCTCCTCTCCATCTTCTATTATGCTCACGCCATAAACCCCACCACAAGAGAAAGGGGGCTGCTCTGCACGCATCTCAGGCTGGCCTCCACACTATAGAACCCTTCGAAGACTCAAGTAAACTCATCATGGGACTCGGCATAACCCAACTGTTACCGAGCACTGCAGAGAAAACATAGTCAACCCATCCCAGGCCATGGGACAGCACGAAAGGAGGTGATTCACTTTTTTCTTGTTCGTTTTGCACATGCAACACCAATTCACAATAATCTGTCTTCTCCTCCTTAGATTATCCATCATTAGTATCCTTCCATGAGCTGCTGTCCATCCAAAGAGCACCACTTTTAAAGGGGCTTTGGTCCTCCAGATGGCCTTCCATGGAAAAGAGTGCTCTCAAACATCCAACAATCTCTCATAGAAAGATTGAACCACAAATCTACCTCCACTATTCCCTACCCACATCCACTCATCCTCTATATCCCCTCCTACATCTTGGCGGTAAAGCACCACCAACTCTATAACATGCTCCAACTCCTTAGCATGAATATGTCTCACCAGCTGCACATCCCAAGTCACCCTACCGATCGAAATGATAACAATCGGCAACCAAAAACTGTTTGTTTGTGGCAATCCTAAAGAGGCTCAGGAACATGCACCCTAGAGGCCTATCACCACACCACTTATCAATCCAAAACTGTACAAGCCTCCCACTCCTTACCCTAAATCAGATATGTTTCGAAAATTCATCCCGCCCTTTTGGATGAACTTTCAAACCCCCACCCCTATTGGACTCCTCACCTCCTCTGATCTCCACCCACCCCAATCCTCTCCGAAGTTGCTCACGATAACGAATTCTAGACAATTTGATCTCGTTGTCCTTAATCTTCATAGCCACTTGCCTAACAAAGCCTTGTTGAACAAACTGATAGGCCTAACACCCAATCCTCCCATCTGAATAGGGTTACACATCTTCTCCAAATTGACTAGTTGGAACTTGAACTCTTCATCCATGCCCCTCTCTATGGGAAGTTTCCTTGCAACTTCCCTAGCTTCTTCACCACTGTAGTGGGAACCTGAATTTATAATAAGAAATAGATAGGGAGACTGGATAATGTACTCTTTGTAAGAGTTAAGCGGACCACCTTAGACAAATACTACTTCCAAATTGCAAGCCTATTCTTGAACCGCTCCACCACCAGGTCCCAGGAAGCCACCCTCTTGGAGTGTTCCCCAACGGTAATCTCAAATATGTTACAATCAATCTCCCCAACATTCCCCAATGGCACTATCTCGCTCTTTCCGGTATTGATCTTCAAACCTGATACTGCTTGAAAACACACTAGGACACAATGTTGCAAGGTCTCATCTGCGAAGATAAGATTGAACACCTCCAACTGACCGGGATGGCCCCCTTCCAACCAACACCCACCCCCCCCCCCCCCCCCCCCCCCCAAAAAAAAAAAAAAATGAAGGAAGCGTTCAGGCCCTTCTCAAACTGTCCATGCAAATTGAATGAATTAATGGATTGGATCACTTTTGTCTTAACCACCCCTCAATTCTGTTGTGAAAAGGCCATAGTAAATTTGTTTGGGCCTCGAGTCTTATCTATATTGCATTTCTTCAAAGCCGACTCCACCTCCTCAACCCCGAAATGCCTCTCCAACCAATCCCAATCTACCATCGAGATGCTCTAGAACTCCAAATCATCAAGTTTAGGTCTCCAACTCAATAGCTCTATGAATATTTGTTGGGAGAATGAGGCAATACCCCTTTTGACATCATCCTCTTTGCTAAGAAAAGTACCACCTATACGAATCCTATCAAAGTTGTTACCCTTCTGATGAGCATTAGTGAACTTCATATTCTGATCCCTTTCTCTTAACAATAAAGCCCTAAACTATTGACGCCATTATGTCTCCTCCAATTTAGCAATCTCTCCCATCTCCGCCTTGTATTCCTCCCTTGTACTCGTCTCCAAGTCATCCAAACCTCGGTCTCTTTTTTTGGTCCAAGTCTGCTATCTTTGTTAGAATTCTATTTTTCCACCACTTCATGCCAAGAACCTCCTTGTTCCACTTCCTAATATCTGCCTTCAACATTCCCAACTTGTTGACAAGCTTGAAGCTTGGGCTACCCCTGACCTTGTAGTCTTCCCACCACATCTTCACTTCCTCCTTTGAATTTTCTGTTTGGAGTCACATATATTCAAATCTGAATGGCATCCTATCCTTCATTAACCCCAACAATACCCCCCCCCCCCCCCCAACCCCCCCCCCCCCCCAACAATCTGCCAGGGCCACCTGAGCAACATCTGAAAATCTTTTTTCCCATTCCCCTGAGAGCGAGAATCTTCCAATCGAGACAATGTGGGAATCTGTCTTTCGCTGGACAATGTGTAGGAAGCACCTTCCATCGGAAGATTCATAAGCTGCTGCATATCAATGAACATTGAAAAATCCTTCATTGCTGCAGTCCACCTCCCTCTAGTGGAACAGCCATGAGAATCCACCCCCCCCGCCCCGCCCCCCACACACAAACACTCACACACAAAGGACGATTCCATCTTCTAGTAGCTCCCAACTCATCCCAGAACACTCTCCTCTCCGCATCCTCCATTGGGCCATACACTAAAGTATGCACACTGCGATCCATCTTCCTCTAAGGAAAGCAAGCAAGAGACGGAGTATCTTCCTTTACAAATGTCAACCATCGAGAACCATCTTCTATTCCACATTAATTAAATCCCTTCATTAGACCAATTGCACTTAGGGTCTTCCACTTGACAAAACGCCCTTCCAAAAGGCACCACTCAATCTTATAAGAGCATGTTGCTAACTTTCATTCCTGCAAGCATCCCACATGAGCACCTCACTTTTGTAATGCCAACTTCACCACATTCCTTTTGTCTGAGTCACGTGACCCCGAACAATCTTCTTCTTCTTCTTTTCTTTTTATTTTTTTATTTATATGTAATATGTGCATTAGAAAAATCCTTCAAAAGGGAACGTATCCCTCAAAAGCTACACAAGACCAAATAGGGCCTCTAAACTCTCAAAGAGTCCAAAAGATTAATAATATCCTCCTTGGATATACAATTTCTCCCTAGAACCCTACAAAAATGGTACAAATGATGGAAAACTTTGAAGTCCCTAAAGAGTCCCCTTTCCTTCTATTGGAATATTTATGTAGGACCAAACTGTAATTATAGTTTGTGGCCATTATGTAATTAGGCCTTTCTTCTGTTTGTATATATTTTCCCTATTTCATTTTAGCGTAATGGAATGAGAATACGTATATTGCAACCTCCATCAGTCTCTCTCTCCTTCAGTTTCTACATGGTATCAGAGTGCCGATCGGTGCCGCTTGAAGTTGTTTGTTGACATCACCGTTAAGAAGAGGGAGTCTGTGTGTTGGCCTCTTCGTCATAGAAAGTTTGTCTTTTTTGTTTTGTTTTGTTTTTTTTTTTTTTTCAGATCGTGAAATTTCCGATCTGTTTCATCATCGCGACCTAGTTCTTTGCTGTCGCCGGAGTGGAATTTTTACTTGATAGTGTCGCCCTGTGTTTTAGTCACTATCTCCATCACAGGTGTTCGTCGTCGTTGTGTGTTGTCATCTGTCGAGTTGTCGATTGTGTTGAGATGGACTTGGTTTGGATTTTGTGTCATCAACGTGCCTGTGTGGTGGCTTCATTATCAAATCATCATCTTGGTTCATACATCGGTGTAGGTGTTTGCTAGCTTTGTGAGACTCGGTTTGTTGGTCAGTGGTTGCCGTCGTCTTTTTTGGCCGGAAGTTGCAGAATTTGTTGAAGAAGAAGAAGCAGAAGTGGGTTGTTTGGCTACTGGTATTTGTTTGTCCCATGGCAGTTTAGCCTATCCCGGCAGAGTTTACATCTAAACAGGTTTGCAGATCCGACCCAGTTGCAGATCCGGCAGACTTGGTTCAGTTCAGATTTTTTGCCTCTAGTTTCTTCTCGGGACAGTGAGCTCTCTGTGCTGTTGCTTCATTCGGCACCGGGGACTACATTAAGTTTTTTTTGTGTGCATTCTTCAATCTGCTCTTGGTTAAATGGCAGAATCTATTACACATTCTATTATACCTAGCAAAGAATCGAAAACATGTACTCACTGCAGTCTTCCTAATCACAATATCAAGTATTATTGGGAACTTCATGGGAAACCAAAATCTTTTGCCTATGCACATCAGGTGTCCTCTACAGAGGATGGTTCTCATTCATTTGCTCCACCTATTGGCTCTCACCAAATTGCTGATTCCGACATGATCACTATTCCATGTAGTGAGTAGCTCAGCTTACGACTCAGCAACAAACATCCATCTCATCTACCATGGTTTCTTTCGCCCTATCAGGTATGCCTGCATGTCTCTTGTCTTCCCATCACAATCCATGGATTCTTAACTCTAGCGCATCCGATATATGACTGGTAGTTCTCATTTATTATCTGATTTTCATTCTGTCACTCCATCTCAAAGTGTTACTCTTGCTAATGGCTCATCAACTAAAGTTTCGGGTTTATGCACAATTCATCTTAGTTCTTCTATGTCTCTTTCGTTTGTC